GCACTTTTCATAGTTCAATAGTTTCTTATCAAAGTTCAAAAAATTCCCCATTTTTTATACTAAAAAAAAAATCAAAATTATTGGAATTTCATCCTAAAAATTCCAACAATTAATAATTTTTACAATTTTGAACATTCGTACTTTGTACGTCGTTAAATAAAAATTTTCGACAAGTTATTATGACAGATCTTCGTACAAAGCGCATGTACGATGAAAACCACCGGAGGTTCTTTGTAGCGAAAGGACTAAACAGAAACAACACGCGAGAAGAGTCATCATGCGAAGTCGTACACGACGGCACGTGTGTGGGCGAGAGATCCACGGCCTTACTTGTCGAACTTGGGTGCACGATCCGTTAAAACTGTTGTTAGCGCTACGTGGGAGGCTGCACACGTTTCTTCCTTCTGCAGAAACGTATCGCGTTCGCAAGGCGCCATGTGATCAGACGGAAAAGAGACCCTCCCGAGGGAAATACACTCCGTCGAAAATACGGGACGCGTATTTTCAGGCGTACGAGATATATCTGGTATCAAATACGTCGCTGAACTTCTTGGCAGTTTAACAGAAAAGCCACAGGAAACGAGACGAGATCTGCCGACGACGATTACGAAAGCGAACACGAATGCGGGAAAGTCGAGTCATTTTTCGTCGGATTTTCGAGAATATTCTATAATATATATCATAACAACATGAAATGCATTTAATTATTTTGGGATAAAGAATAACGATATTATATTAGGATTCTCAAATTTTAAACAATACAAAAAGATAGTAGGCTAATGAGAGTCAGTAACGATAAACGGCGCAATTATTTAGTGAACAATCAGATATTGGATTGATGTCTTTGTTATTTTGAACGTTTCGACTCTCTTTGGAATCCCTAAAAATCATATTAAAGTGATAGATGCGTAAATAATTTAAATGATTTATCACGGACATGAAACATTGTATTGAAGCTTTGTTAAACATATTAAAATTTAAAAAGTAAATGTTAAAATCAAATATAAAAATCAATACATTTTTAGAATACATATTCGTGTACGACGTGTTACTTAGATATGAATTATTCTCGAAATAAAAAGTTAAATAGTAAACATTAAGGCAAATTTGCAATTATCAAGAACAAAATACTATATATTATTGTTAAGTCAAATAATAAGAACCGCGATAAAATATTTTATAAGAATTAAAAACTGTCAAAATTATTAAAATTAAGTAAAATAAAGAATTACATAATAATTTAAAGGATAAAGTCTATTTAGAGATTAGACGAGAGATTGAACGATTCATTTCCTTGAAATCGTAATGTGCTCTTCAGCAAAGCTCTTTGTAGATTCATCCTGTGACGAAAGGCGAGAAAGGGAAAAATGCAAAATTTCACTGTGTCGAGAGTCATCATGCGATTTGCAACGAACTATATTTGGCAGCCCATATTCCTCGGTTATCTCTCTGTGCGTCGTGAGACAAATGTTTCTCAATACGCGAGATAAGCATAATTCGATAGTGTCGCAGCATTTCTCGTTCTCGTTTTATTCCGAGGCAACAATTCCGAGGCAACAATTCCGAGGCAAAACAGCACTATACAATGTTAATTCGGTAATTCGACGTTATGAAAGAAGAAATCCTCGAGTATACACAAAATTCACGGAATCCTAAGATAATAATCCGCTTTGAGTTCACGAGGCGGACACATTATACGTGGCATTCGTATAAAAATGCTTGAGATAAGCGGGATTGTCTTGTAATCGAGCAGCTCAGCTTTTGAAAAATAAGTCGGTTGAGAGTCCCTTGAAACCGATTCGGCGATGACATGTATTTTTCTACTTTCTGATTGCGAACAAAAAATAAAATGCAGAATGTTGATATTTTCTCTTTTTCTCTTCGTTTTTAATTCTCCAACTGCAATTTAAATTCCTTATGACATAAGTAAAATTTCACTTTCCAATTTCTTCAAAATAAAGACGAAGCGAAGTCTGGTTCTCCCTCCTAAAATTTTATTAAAAATCGCAGGTTGGCAGTGGTCGAAGATAAAAATTATTTATGATATAATAAAGATGTTGAAAATAATTTGTATTTTCCACATTTTTACGAAAGTTTAATTTTTCTTATTTCTAATTTTTGAAAGTCTACACTGAAAAAAATATTAAATTTTAATAAATATCTATTTGAAGAGTTCCAAATGAATATTTACTAAATATAAACGTATATTTATTTGATACAAAAACCATTAATTTAATTTCTATCATTTCTTTTAGTGAGTAAATATTTATTTAGTGAGAGAGAGAGAGAGAGAGAGAGAGAGAGAGAGAGAGAGAGAGAGAGAGAGAGAGTAAATGTTTTCTTAACACCATTCAAAGAAATATGTATTAAAATTTAATAAATATTCTTTTTAGTGTGAACAGCAAAAAAACTTGGGTTAGATGGAGAGATAAAAAATTTGTTTGCAGACAAAAGTTTAAGTCACCGCGAATATTGCAAAAATAGATATATTTTACGCAAGTAATGAGTAACATTATGTAAGAGACGTAAAACGTTTGCGTGCGCACACCGTACGTAAAAAAACATCGAGGTGAGGGTGATGTCATACATTAAATCCTGAAAAGGAAACATCTCCGTGGCGGGGCAAAAAAAGAAACGAGTAGAACATGACGGCTGTAGAGGCTACGGTAGTTCGATTCGGTTCACGTTTTGTCCTGTACCCTTGACATCAATACACGGTGCATGCCTTGCAGAAATGGTGCAGTTATCGTTCTGTAAGACATTGTTAAGTCTAATTACACGATTCACAACCAGGCGACATGGTTCGACAACAAAGAGTACTTTGCGCTTTAAGATTCTACTTATCTACATT